ACAGGGCAGTGTAACAGTGCCTGATCCCACCTTTCATCCCTCTTGCTGTACAGCCTGCCCAAGCCTGCCCTTGGGTGGGGGTGCCTGAGCCTTTCCTCATCCTACTCAGTGAGCAGCCTCAGGGCTGGCTCTGTTGATGAAAGTGCCCTCACCATGTTCTGGAGCTTAGCTGACTCCACCCAGAAGGCTCTGGACTCCACCTGCCCCAGCTCTGGGGAGTAGCGGTGGTTGAGGACCTGGAGGCTGCCGCAGTAGAACTGCAGGATGGATGGCTCCAGATGCCATGGTCTGTAGTCTGCCAAGAGAAGACACTTCTGGGTCACCTTAGTGATACATAGGAAAGAGGGGGTTACCCCAGTGTGTGACGGTCTAAAGGCCACCCAGAGGCACTAATGTGCTCTGGGCTGGGCATTGCTTTGACTACCCCCCCTCCGCCTCCTGCTGGGGATAAAAAACGTGAATTTTTACCTAGGAAATACCAGGTTGCTGCAGCAGCTCCAGCCAGCACAAGAAAGGCTATCCCAAGGGGCACATAGCGGAGGCAGCGACGTGAGTTAGTTTCTGATTTGTCATTTGAGAGGGAGCTAGAGTCTTCCTCCTGTTCCTCGGCCTCCATCAGGAGCGTCTGGTGACACAGCATGCCAGGGTCAGGCTGGTTTTTCTGTTTCCCCTTACACCCTCTCTGAAGGTGTTATGCCAAATCTGTCCTACTCTCCCAAGATGTACGGCCCCAAGAGATCACTGTGCAAATATCAAAGACTTTGCTCAGAGTAAATGTGAGTAAAACTGCTAAATCAGTGGGAGACAGGCTCCCAAGACACCGTCTTGTCTACATCTCCTGGTAATCCATTGGTATTCAAAGGCATTCCCTGGGTTTTTCTTCTGTCAAAAGTGCAAATTAGTACAACAATGAGTTTCTCTGAATACAAAAGTGTTGTCCTCCCAGCTGGGAGTTGTTTTAAAACTGGTATTTTTTTGATCTAGAAATCAATGTGGAAGAAAATTGGTGACCTGAAATGTGAGCAAAAGCTGCACAAAGCAGCCACTGCCTGGGAACCTGAAGTTACACTTTGCCTGCTGTTCCATTTTTATCTTGATCCCTACAAGTAAGCAAACATTGCCATTCCCACTAGGCCGTGTGTTCCCAGGCAAAGCCAATGCTGGCACTGGCTCAATAGCTGAGTTAATGAGAAGAGAGCACCTGAATAATGTTCAGCCCTTCACCAACACCTGTTTGTGCTAGGGGACGCCTTCTGTCTTCCTTTGCCCCTCATCTCCCCCAAATTGCTTCTTTTGCTTCTTCCTGGCTGCTTCTCTTCTGTCAGCCCCACGTTCTGAGGGTGAGAAATACCATTGCCCAAAAGAGCCACATTAATATTGGTTTTGTCACCCACTGTCCTCCTCCTTTCCTCTGCCACCACACAGTACATGCCTGCCCTCAAAGGTTTTCTGCGTTTCTGTGGTTGGAGAGAAAAGGGATGTGGATGCATCTGCATGGGAGAACACAGAGGTCTTGTGGAATGCTTGTGTCCTGTCTGTGAGTCATCTTTGTTCCTAGTGGTGCATGTGAACATGGGGAGAGAAGTGCATGGGAGGGACTTGCTACAGCTGGGGGAAGAGATGGCTGGCCTCATGCAGATTTTAGCCCATGTGGGTGCCACTGAGCATCACCTGATAAGGATGAGTGGGCTTTTCAGCCTCCTGCCCCCAGTAATGGAGCCCCAAGCCCTCCAGGCTGCCTTGCAACATGGAAACGCATTTGCAGAATCTAAGCACTAGGTAACTCACTCCAGAACATCAAACCCAGCCTGGTGAACATCCACACTCAGACAAGCAGTCCCACATCCACTTGCTCTAACACACCCTTCCAGAGGAGCAGGTGGTACAAAGAGGCCCAGCACGCGCTGCCCTCCCTTGCTTCTTGTGGGGCACCTTTCTGTGCAATCCCTGGGAAGGCTCTACTCCCCAAGGAGCCGAACTGGGTAGTCCAGGAGAGCAAGGGCACCTCTCCACTACCACAGCATCCCTTCAGAAACAGCAGGCATAAGCACACGACCGCAGATGGAGGGGCAGGGGAGGGAGGGCAGGAAGCAGCAGAAGAGCCTCTTTGTTAGTAGATTTGATGGCAGGCACCAAGGTTTCCCCCAGAGCTGCAGACCTACCTCTAAAGCCTGCTGCTGCCTGTGAGACCTGGCCCACACCCCAACTCACACCTGCAGGGAGTGGGGGACAAAGCAGGACATCTATTTACCCAGCTCAAGGTCTCCTCAGTGATCAATAACCTGGTGGCATGTCCCTTCAGCTCGGCCTTTGTCCTGCACCATGCTGCTGCAGTGGGTCAGCGCACCCTGCACAGTGGCTTTTTTCTTTTCTGAAATGGAGGGTTTGGAGGCTTAAAGTGGGAGAAGATCTGCAGGCTGAGCAGGGGAAATCCAGAAAAAGTAAAGGTAGGAGCACCTCTAGATGTGCAGAGAAGAGCAGCCCAGGAGATTGGTGCAGATAGCTTACGTTGTCCTCCTCAGGGGACAGGGAGTTGCTGAGCAACTGCTGCATTTCTTAGCCACCCTCTCTGGTCCCATTGGTGTGCACTCCCCAGCACAGGGATGGAGCAGATGCTGGCTGGCAGGGGTAGATGGCTGGAAGGAGGGAAGACAGCAGCAGAGACCAGGTCTGGTTACCACAGTGTTCATCAGATGAAAGCAAAGCACAGTGCCTCTCAGTGCCGGCCTCGGAGACTCCCTCTTGTCTTCTTGCACTTCTCGCTGCCCATTCTCCTGACACTGGGCTCCCTACACTCAGCTGCACAGCCACTCATACCTCCCTGCAGCATCTGCTTTTCTTCCAGCCCCAGGTCCTCCTCAGCTACTTTTCCCACATGACCTTCTGCTTACAGTCCTGCAGGTCTGTATGTGCCCCTTTGTTTGTCACAGAAAGCAGAGACACTGCAGCTAGAGCAGAGCAGGCAGAGTTACTCTATCAATAAATGGGTGGCTCCTGACCCAGGGCTGAGCTCTAGCCAGTGATATCGACCTGGGGTTGAGCTTATTTGGGCCAGGGCTTGCTTGGGCTCGTTTTGGCAGCTGTGCAGGGATAGATATTTTTCAGCTCTGTCACTGGACCAGGTTTAGTCTGGGACTGCATGAAGACCAAAGGCCATTGCTGTAGTTGCCTCATGGTGGATTCTAGTAGATAAACACTCAATGTAGGTAGAAAGCTGTAGTGTTTGACTGGGAATGCTTTCAGAATCAAGAGATTTGAGACCTTGTTTCACTTTTAAAAGTTACTTTGAACCAGAATTTCCACAGATAATGAGGGACAAGCAGCATCTTTAGGCACAAATGTATACATATATAGCTTTTCTGAGTTTACACTATGAGGGGCTTGCCACAGTGGGTCAGAACCCATCTGAGGATATTTCTCAATGCCAAAAACCTTACTTTTTTGAATTAAATTTTCCTGGAAAGAAGAATCTAAATTTTCTGGTGTTTTCAGCAGAACAAAAAATGTAGAATCTCAATCTGATCTATCTAAGCAAGCATACCACATCTATCACCACAGGCTTTTGAATCAACCAAGGACCCAAACCCTTGATCAGATCTGACTTCAGAGGAATTTTTTTACTGCAAGTACCCCTTGCTTTCTGTTTCTTCACAGAAAAAAAAAAAAAAAGAGATGTGGGAGGAGGCTGAGAGTGGTATCTATTTATGAACAAGGTATCTTGGAAAGGAGATGAGGGATGTGACAGCTATCTTTGCTGTCTCTGGGCTTAAGATAAAGAGAGGACTCGTGCCTGTGGCTGTTAGCTTGATATTTTCCACACCAATATTTTCCACCCAGTGCTGTTGTTCATCTTTGGTTTGCCTCTGGTACTGGCAAACACGGCTGTGGTGTGTTTCTGTGGCTTTGTGAACCACACGCCACGCTCTCATGGGCTCGGAGGGGAGAACACAGCGTGTGACTGCTCCCCGTGTGACATTTCCAAAGGGCTCTTGGGAACCCAAAAGGTCCCCAAATCACTGAGGGTGTAATGACTCTGGCACTCACAGCCCGCGTTACTCACACACAGAACCACATGATCTCGTCTTCCTGGAAGAAAGGTCCGGTTATCGCCAGATCTGACGCTGAGCACTTCCTGCCGCGGTGTGTCACACATCACACCCAGCATGGCTGTGAAAGTTACACTAACAGCTTGCCAGCTCCAAAGCTGTCAACATTTTCACAAAAAGCGAGGTGTGTGTGTGTGTGTGTGTGTGTGTGTGTGTGAAAATACTGAGCCAGCAGGACAGTCCTCAGGAGCTTGCCACAGGATCACCTCTAACTCTCCTCTCTTTTTTAGGTGTCTGAGTCCCTTGGGGCAGGGAGTAGGAAGGAGAGCTAAAGGTATATTAGTCCGAGCAAAACTTTACCTAGTTCCCTGTTTAGAAAAGTTGTTAATCATTTCCCCTCACTCAAAGGACAGAAAAACACTGTAGATTACTTAATATTTTGTTTATTTACAAAGAAGCTAATCTGGTTTTTTGTACTCATCTTAGCAGCAAGATGTACTCAGTAAGAGTACAGATATACAGTTTGGTCCTGCAGAAAGAAAATTAGAAAGGAGAAAGTCCAGCTAGAACTTGATCTAGCTACTGTTATCAAAAATAACAAATACATTAATAACAAAAAGAGGGTCAAGGAGAAGCTCCATCCTTTATTTGACTTGGCAGGGGAATATTGTCATTAAGGAAGAGGTTGAGCTACTTAATGCCTTCTTTACCTCAGTCTCTAACAGAAAGACCAGATGTCCCCAGGGTACCCACCCTCCTGAGCTAGAAGACAAAGACAGGGAGCAGAATAAACCCCCTATAATCCAGGAGGAAGTAGTTAGTGGCAAGCTGTGCCACTTAGACACTCCCAAATTTTTTGGGCTGGATGGTGTCCACCCAAGGCCACTGAGAAAACTGGCAGAAAACTGGCAGAAAACTGGCAGAAGGGCTCACCAAGCCACTTTCCATCATCTATCAGCAGTCCTGGCTGGCCAGAGAGGTTCCAGGTGACTGGAGGTTAGCCAGTGTGACATCCATCTACAAAAAGGGCTGGAAGGAGGATCTGAGAACTACAGGCCCATCAACCTGACCTCAGTGCCACAGAAGATCATGGCACAGGTCACCTTGAGTGCCATCACATGGCAGGTGCAGAACAACAAAAGGATCAAGCCCAGCCAGCATGGGTTTGGGAAAGGCTTGTTCTGCTTGACCAGCCTGTTCTTCTATGACAGGGTGAACTTCACTCAGTGGAAGAAGGAAAGGCTGTGGATGGTGTCTACCTAATCTTTAGTAAAACCTTTTACACTATCTTACCACAGCATTGTCCTGGAGAAACTGGCAGCCCATGGCATGATGTGTGTACTCTTTGCTAGGTAAAACACTGGCTGGATGGCCCAACCCAAAGAGTTGTGGTGATTGGAGTTAAATCCAATTGGCAGCCAGTCACCGGTGGTGTTCCACAAGGCTTAGTATAGGGGCCAGATGTGTTTAATATCTGTTGAAAATCTAGATGATCAAGCGCTCCCCTTTAGTCAGTTTGCAGATGACACCAAGCTGGGCAGAAGTGTTGATCTGCTGCAGGGTAGGAAGGCTGTGCAGAGGGGTCTGGATGGGCTGGAGTGATGAGCCAAAGCCAATGGTACGAGGTTCAACAAGGTGCCAGGTCCTGTTAGCAACAGGGTCACAACAGCACCATGCACTGCTGCAGACTGGGGGAAGAGTGGCTGAAAATCTGCCCAGTGGGAAAGGACCTGGGAGTGCTGGTTGAACATGAGCCAGGTGTGCCCAGGGGACCAAGAAGGCTGATGACATCCTGGCTTATACCAGGAATAGTGTGGCCAGCAGGGCCAGGAAAGGGATCATCCCCCTGTACAGAGGCCACACCTCAAATCCTGTATTCAGTTTTGGGATGCTCAATACAGGAAGGACATTGAGGTGCTGGAGCATGTCCAGAGAAGGGCTATAGAGATGGTGAAGGGTCTGGAGCACAAGCTGAGGGATTGCTGGGGATGTTTAGCCTGGAGAAAAGTAGGCTCAAGGGTAACCTTATTGCTCTCTACAACTCTCTGAGAGGAAGTTGTGGCAAGGTAGAGGTCAGTCTCTTCTTCCAGATAACAAGTGATAGATCAAGAGGAAAATACTTCAAATTGCACCAGGGAAGTTCAAGTTGGATATCAGGAAAAATTTCTTCACTGAAAGAGTGGTTAAACATTGGAATAGGCTCTCCGGGAAAGTGTTTGGAAAACAAGTAGATGTGGCCCTTTGCAAGACAGTTTAGTGGGCATGGTAGTATTCAGTCAAAATTTGGACTAGATAATCTTGAAGGTTTTTTCCAATCTTCAGGAAAATAGGAGGAAAATAGAAAAGCTTAAGAAAGTCTACATGGGGACAGTGCAGCTTGGATCCTTGGCCCATGTAAGATAGCAAACTGCCCATCAGAGGCAAGGGAGTCAGTGTCTCTGGGAGGATTTTCAAAGTCCATCTGGGAAGATTCTCAAGGTACAGGAAACAGCTGAGAAAGCCTTGTACTTCCCTATCTGGGAAGCTGTGTCTCCTGTTTTCTCCTGGACACAATGGAGCAGTCTGTGTCTTGAGACAGATGGTGAAGGAACTGATGAGAGGAGAGGAATAGTTCCCAAAGACCTCCCAATAACAAGTAGGCTCAACTCCTCTGAACAGCCCTTTTCAGCTGAAATCCAAGCCAGTGGGTGACCCTGCACTTGGGACTCATAATGATATTCAGGATGCATACTTCAGTGCCAGGTAACAGTGTAGGAGCAGGAATCTCAATGCTTGGCCAGACAGAGATAGGAAAGAATTAGCTCTAGCTGACACTCACAGCTGTGACAGAAGCATTAACAAGTTCAATATCCTTGAACTTTTTGGTATAAATTCTCTTAGAAGAGTTTTGAAGAGATAAGAAGAACTCTTAGCACATGGCTGGTATTTTCCCACTGCTGAAAAGTCCAAAAATATGGCAAGAAAATGCACAGATGGTACAAATGATGAATGCAGGGATCTTCCTTTGCCTTACCACTTTTCTTCTGTGGCTTTTTCTAAGCCAGATCAGGGCACGTAGAGGAAGAAGAAAAATGAAGTCTGTGCTATCCCCATTCTTTGCAAATGGATTGAGGTTTTCTTTTCAGTAAAGGTGCTGATTTGTGGGTTAGTTTTCTGGGCTCATTCACCACATCTTTGCTGCTAATTAGGCAATGGTTTCCCTTCAGCAGTGGAAGGAATGGGCAGCACTGCTGTGATGTTTTCCACTTATACAGGATGTGGGATGAACTATTCTGCAATCAGCTTATCATAGTCAAATAACTGTAGTTTGCCAGCAGGGCAGAAAGGCTTTCGATTTCATGAAAAATATTGTACAAGAATGGGAAACTGTGTGAGTTCTTTTTACTGCCACCATCAGAGGTGGAGGAAAGAAAGAGAGGGAGGGGATTTCCCCAGTATTTTTAACTCAATAATGGGGATTTCTTTTTTACACTGCACTGCTTAGACAGCTGATGCTGTTGTGGCTCTGAGCCGGTCTTAGAGACTCCAAGGTCTGGACTCTAACGTGTAAAGCTGGACCAAGTAGCTTAGAATGTAATCTCTGATTAAAACTTTAAGTGAGAACATCATAGAAAAAAAATCACACCCTTGGTCAGTCAGGAGGAGATGTCTTCATCCATTTCATCATCAACTCCAGCACCATTGGGCAGTGCTATTGGCCCCTGTATAAAATCTAACATCCACATCTTCAGGCATTTCTCTGTTCCATTAGAGGTTTTTAGGCCGGTATGAGGCAAACTGATGATATGGCAGCTCAGCCTCAAAGCTGAGTGCTATTTTACACCAAAATGCAGAGCATGGAAGTGCTGGCACAGTCTCCTGCCAGGAGCTGGGAAGGGAAAAATGAATTAGTGAGGTTTGGAATGTCACTTGAGAAATGTGAGGAGTTTCTATGCCATTGGAGCCAGTAGTAACAGAAGAACAGATTTGCTTGTGAAGGTAAGTCCTTGTTGTCTGGGTTTCTCCAGCCTCATTAGCGAGCGGTCCCAATGGGATTGATGCTGAAGTTACATTCATGTCCTGAGGAGAGAAACTGTCCATCTAGTCTTCCCTGCTTAGGTGGCCTTTTCCACCTGTGGGTCTCCTCCAGGCAGATCCTAGACAGAGCAATGGCTGTACTGGCTTTGGAGGTCCCTCAGAGAAAGGTAGGCACCGGTGTTTGGGATCTGGCTGGAGAAGGCTGTTTTGCATGGCTCCTCATCCTGTCTTTGCATTAGAGGTGGAGGCTGTGGAGGCTGGGAGGAGGAAGAGGCAGCATTTGCTGCTGGTGGGCAGGGGTCAGCTGGAGGGCCCCCCTTCCCGCTGCCTTCGGTTATACTGACAGTGTTGCTGTCCTGCAGGTCCAGTGGGTCAAGAAAGTCAGTGTCCAGCTGGCACACGGCCCCAGCCGGCTGTGAAGCTGCTTCGTCCATCACCTTCTCATCCTGCTCCAGAAGCGGTGTTGGTGAAGTGCCTTCCATCGACTGGAGAGCCCCAGGAACAGCCATGGCCTGCTGGGCTTCACCTGCTGTCTCTTCCGTGAAGTTGCTCTTTTGGGAGCCCTGGCTTGCCTCAATACAGTGAAAGAAGTTGTTGGGCAGCACATTCATGTCCTCTGCCAGTGTGCAGAGGTCTGGAGAGGGGAGAGCCTGGTAACAGTCACCATCCTTGCTGCTACTGCCCTCCTGGCTGAAAGGCTCGTAGGTGAAGTAGACCTGACAGGGCTCGATCTCAAAGGAGTTGGAAACGTGGAAGAAGAAGTAGCCTTGGTTGGTGAAGCAGCTGGATCCAGAGTGCACACTGGTTTCTATGGGAGGATCAAGAGTCAGGGCTCCCTTGGAAAGTAGAAACCGGGATTCCTGGTCATTCTTCTGCATCACCTCGAGCATGGAGATCTCTGGGATTGTGCTGTTCACGCAGTAGGAAGATGTGGAGAATGGGGAGGAGAGCCATTTCTGGTGGGGAAGAAACACAAGAGAGAGAGAGACAGTGACTATCAAAGTATAGCACTCAGAGAGGAACCAAAGGTTTCATCTACTGACTGGCCACAGCAATCAAGTGACCTCTTTTCTGTCCAAGCAAGGGTTACCAGAGACGGTGGGGAGGGAAATTCCCATTCATGATGTCTGATCTGCAGGATTTTCAGAGTATGTCATTCTGTCACATTAAAATTAAGAGTGGATCTTGTCAGCCTATGTTTTGAGATTTCTGAAGCAGCGAATTTAAGATGGAGAATTAAAATGAAACAAAGGGAATAAAAAAGGTAGGAAAAAGCCTTACAAGACCATAAGATGAAGTGAAACATGAAAAACAATATTGAGGTGTATCTCATGTAATCTATTCCTAGGTGCTGAACAGCTTCTGATATATCCACATGGCCATATGCAGATTTCTTGTCTAAAGTGCTCTTCCAGACCCCTTCTGCCTAATTTTCATAGTCATCATGAGCAGCATCCTCCAGTGCATCATTATCCTTAAAAATAAACTGGTTTCAATAACACCCAAATCCATTGGTTTATGGCTTGTAAAGCAAATTTTTCAAGTTCTTTCTGTGCTGATAAAGTGTCTTGAGTGCACAACCCCATCCCCCTACTCTGTACTCATTCCCTGTAGTTTAAGCTTCCTAAGTATTTTTATACCTTGGCTTTTCCAAAGCTTTGCTCTTTCTGAACCCTCTGCAGTTTGTTTCCATCCTTCTTAAAGCAAGATGCCCCTTGGGATCACCTCCCACGTCTTGCATCTGACGCTCCCTTTAATGCTGCACAGAGTGGTAATTGTCTCCTTGCAGCTGCCCATACTCACAGAGAGCCTAGGGGAGGGAAATAGTGGAGTGGGAAAAGAAGGGAAGCTGACAAAAATGCAAGGAATAGCTAAGTGCTATCCAGTGTGATGGCAATTCACAACAGGAGCAGAGGAGAAGCTCACAGCAGGAAATCTGGGGAAGAGCTGGGCAGCCTAGGGCAAGTAGGGAGGGGCTGAACTGGGAGGGAGGGGGATCTTGAGAGGCCAAGCCCCCTCCTGCAGGTCCCTTGCTGTCTCTCAGGCTGCTGATTATGGGAGCAGGATGCTGTGCTTTGTGTGGTTTGCCATTTCTTTGTTCTTGTAATTAGAGATGTCTTAGCTGCATGTCAGGTTTTAGAAGGTCAGAAAATAGAACTTGAGCAGAGAACCCAGCAGCTGGTGCTACTGGTGCATATATCATGTGTGCATGGGTAGTCTATCTGTCCTGGGCATGTGCAGCTGGGTGCTCCTTTCCCTCATTTCTCCTCACTCTGGTTCCATCCCCAACCCGTACCTGAATGTCACCTCCGTGAACCGAAACAAGTGGGGGAAAAAACTTCTCAGGGTCTGGGATGTGAATCTTCAGGATTTTCTTAAACCTTGAGGAGAGACAATGAGAAGGACAAATGAAGCAGGGCCTGATCCCAATCACTGTCACTGTGGTGGGGGTGAAAGTGTGCCCTGCAATTCACAGGTACTGCCCTGGCATGGGGGAAGAAGTAAAGTTGAGCCTGGGGTCTGTCCTTCCTCTTGAGTGGTCTGAGAGGCACTACTGAGCCACGAGATGTATAGAGGTGAGACAGATAAACCTGGCACTGGAAAATACATTTCCCCCAGCCTTTTCCCTGGGGAAAGACAACCCCTGTTTTTTCTGGTTTCTTCCCTGCCTTGCCTGGTCACCTTAGCCTCTCTACCTGCCCCCTTCAGCCCCTGTCCTGATGACAAGCTGAGCAGGCCTCCCTGGTTTCCAAGTTCCTGCTGCTGTGTGCTGTTTGTTCTCTGTTTTCTATCACCATAATGGCTCAGGATCATGTGGCCTGAGCAGGGCCATCACTGGGAAAGCTCTGCCACAGCTCTCTTTCCTCCTAGCAGCATGCTGCATGGCATAGCTGGGGCACACTGGCTGTGCAAGCCATCTGAGTGAGTATGCCTTGCATTGTCCAGAGGCCTCTCCTTCCTTGGAACCAGTGTGTTGTCATCCTGAGGCAGCCTGGAGTGATCTAAGCTGCTCCTCAGCTTCTCAGAGTGGTTGGATCATCTTGTCATCCCTTTGCTGAAGCTTTGCTGTAGGATGTTGTAAGGAAAAACCCTCCTGACCTCTGGAGGCAATCAGTGTACTCTCTGAAGTATCAGAGCTTGCTAGCTCTTGCATATAAACTACCTTACATCACTGCAGATGCTATTTTTATTCATGCATGTCTAATTCTTCCTTGCATCTTACCTCAGCATTATTCTGCACTCAATTCCCCTGGGTTGATTATACTTTGTGGAGAAAGGAGGCCTTTTTAACTCCCTCTGTGCTGTACATCTAGCACTTCCTCAGCTTTGTGTAGTGACTCAGGGTAAAATAGTGACCAGTGACTTTCTCAGTATCAATCGTCCTTCAGCATGGTTCTCTGTCTTTCCTTACAGAGAAACCATCCAGCCTCTGCAACCTCATCCCTGAGAATGTTTGTCCCTGCTCCCTGCCATGAATATCAGCATGAATATCAGCTTTTCTACCCCTGACCTGAGATGAGAAAACCTCTGACTGTTTCTAATCTTGTGCCAAGCTGAGAGGTCACTGTTCCTATTATTGTGTTGAGTAACCTTGTGAGACACTTTCAGTCCTTTATAAAAGCAGTGTCTGGGTAGAAACACCGGCAAAGAGGTCTTGAAGCATCATATAGGTTTTATCAGTGTGTGAGGACTGCACAGACCAGGTAGAACAAGAATTGTGCTCCTCACTCAGGAGTTTTGCCTGCAGGCCCAATGTCATCTCATCATGCCCGAGCTCTTGCTGGAATGTTTAAATGAGAAGGAAATGGTAACCAGGCTTGCTTGGTCCTCACTACAGGGAGAGTTCCCAACCCAGTGACCTGCTTTTGAAGAGGCAATTTTGATGCATCCCTGCCAGGAAACACCACTCTAACCCATGGGCAACAGATGTGCTGAGGCAGCTGTTTTAAATTTAGCCAGGGCATGGTACCAGGTCACAGGAGAATGGCACAATACAACAGTGCTGGTGAAACCACATCGTCTTGGGTGGTGTTGTTTTTCCACAGGCAAATATCAGTCTCAGGAGGTTGGGCTATATACCATAAATTAGTTGCCTTAAAGCCATCTCTCTCCTGAGCAACACCAGGTGAAAAATAATCTGAGTTTTGAGAATACCCACAAGATACAGGAGAGGAACAGAGATGTAAACTTAATTATCAATTACCATTTCAGGGCCCGTAAGTTAATGAGGAAGGCGGTCCCAATGATCACAAAGATGAAAGTGCTCACTATCAGAACTGGCAGGACTGGCTGGGATGTTCCTGCAAGATGAGAAAGAATGAGGAAACAGCTGTTAAAATCTAACCAGGATTCTGTAGGTAGAAGCTGCAGCCCTTTCATGGCTGTTCAAGATGATCAAAGTGGGCCTTTGTTATAATTTATATAATATTATGATATCTAGAATTTTAATATACAGGTCCGTAAATGTGAGTTCTGCTGTGTTGTGTAGGATGCCTTTGAGCTGATATGGGTTTCAGAGTCTAAGTATTGCTTAACAGATAATTTCTGCTGAACAAACAAAGCTTGAACTCCCTGGTCATAACAGCACCACAGGTAGGAGTGGCCACAGATGAGGTTGCACAGTCTGCTAGTTGAGGTGTCCACCAACCTGTTTCATCGCCAAGGAAAGCAGGGACTCCTAAAATCAGCTAAAGTGGTGTTGGAGGCTTGAAACAGCATTAATGGTCAGTGGGGGAGAGGGAGTCATGGGGTTCACAGGTCTCTGAGAGGGCAAGAGGATAAGGATAGAGAAGGTTAGGGATCAAGGGACTGGCTTCTTTCTTTGGAGAGGTGTAGGGAAGCGTTAGGATGCTAGGAAGGTTACAACTTTACACCATATTTTAGTACTTGGATTGTAGGGTTAGAACAAAGAGACTGGGCTCCCACGTTGCCAGGGCTGCCAGCACTCCTCAGGCTTGTTTGGCATCGTCTCAAACATTCCTTAATCTGTCTCTTTCACACATATCTCCCCAGTGCACCTTTGCTTGGTCTTGCTATTCTGTGCCTGTTTCCTCTGCCTGCCCCTCATCTCCTGCCACCCCTCATGTCCCTTGGCCTGGTCATGCAGAGAATCTCTGGAGCAGTTGGGAGAGAACAGAGAAAAATAAAAGACGGAGGGAACATTTTTAGCACATTCTTTCTTTCCCTGTCCTTGAGATGCTACTCAGATCACTTTGTCTCCTCTGCCTCTGGTACCCTGGTTATCTTTGGGTCTTGGTTGCTATGACAACTGGTTGCGGCTGTATCCTATTCACTGACATCACACACTGTCAAAATTTGATCACCACAGCAACACAGTGCCCTTTCTAAACATAGCTCCTCTGTTTATACCAAGATCAGGAACAACAGGGAGGGGTTGAGCAGAGGCAGGATGGGGGCAACGTGAGAAGGAATAACCTCTACCTGCTTATTTTTTGGAAAAAAGAATGACAGAGGCTACAGCCACCGACTCACTGAAGGGCTCTATCTTCCAAGGCAGGAAGTTCACACAGTGACCGACGCAGACCTCAGCAGACCTCAGACCCTTTTTTGAAAGGGTCTTATCATGCTTGTAAGTCAGTAAGTCTCTCCCAGTTTCCATGAGACTTTGCTTCCCAAGCTCGGGTGTTCCTCAGCTCAGGAGCTGAGAGCTGTTTCACTGCATTTCACTGATCAATACCTCCACTGACCTGGGCCATTTTAGGAAGCTGGGACAATGTTCCCAGGTAACATTAGCATCTGGGAAAATGCCAATCGTGGCCACTGCTTCTGCTGGTTAGACATCTGGCCTTACTGCTCTGGGGAAGCAGTCCCTGATTTATACCTTGTGCATTTTGCCTAGCTTCTGGAAGTCAGAGGGGCTTTGCCAGGTGGGGTCAGGAGGTCTTTGCCCTTAAGCTGTGATGCTGAGATGATCTCACCTAACTGATCAGGAGGGACAGTTTTCAACCTTTCTATTACTCTTTGGTCAACATAGCTCTCCCTACACATCTTCCTTCAGCTTCTCACCTTGTTTTGGTCATTCTACCTTGTTTGCCCCGAGTTCCCATTTTCCCCTTCAGGTCAGACTACCTGACTTACCCTTATGGTCAGCATGTGTCCTCCACAGGACCGGCTTGCTCCAGTCACTCCACATGCCTTTGTAGGTGCTCCTGGCACTTGGCCTTGCACGAACAGATGCTTCATACTTAGAGTTGGGTGAGAGTCTCTCAAAATTTGCCCACATCTGGTCCTGTTCAATGGGCAAGTTTGCAGCCTCCTGGGAGTAGGGCAAATTTAGAACATCGTCAATGCCCTGGTTTACAACTCACATACCCATCTTCTCCAAAACCCTCAGAGGAGACTTGTCTCAAGTCCTTACACCTCATGCATGCCTTTTTCACCCTGAAGGAAAATTCTTCTTTGCTTTGTTTTTCCCATACCTTTCAGGTCTGTCCTGGAACTGTCTGAATTTTTTTGTGACAACACTAAGTAAAATAGGATCCCCATCTGCCTCTTTGTCATCACCAGACACTGGCAGCAGGTGACACAGATAAAAGGGCAGGGGCTGTCATCCTCCCTCCACCTTCACCAAAACTGCTTACATCCTGAGAGAAGGCCCAGGAGCAGGCCTTGGGATACGTAAACAAGACCAGGATTCTCCAGGACTCACATGGTAACACATCCCAGCTTCCCCCTCTGTACTCACCTCCCAGGACTGACTCACGTGTCGGAACCGCACTTGGTACTCCCGCTTCCCATCCAAATAGTGAGAGGAAATATTCAGGCTCCATGTTAGGTTGGAGGTGTTTTCAGTTATGTTAACCAGCTGAAGGTCTCCTGGAGGCCTCAGCTTTACTGGAAAGAGAGAAGAAGCAGGGCTGACATCCCCATACTCTGTCCATAACAGGACTGCACACCAAGCCCCTCAGCAGCAGGACATCTCCTTGAGATGGGTAAAATTGCACAGCCAGCAAAACAATGTCCCTAGGAGATGTTTTTCTTCTGGATTAGTGACTTGAATTCTTTCAGCAAAGACTGAAACATGCCAAAGCTGTCTTAAAGAAGGGTGGGAGCACATAGCTAGAGGGGGGCAGAGGAAGAGCAGCAAGACTTTCCATCCTTCCTGCAGCACACATTTTTCATGAGGGCAGCTGAACTATCATTACCTGTTTGAAGCCAGATATGGGACAGGACAGGATGTGGCTGGCATGGCACTGTGTGACAGAGGAGTCAGTGGCAGGAGTCAACATTGTGCTCATTGTAGCAGGGGACAAACAATAGACAAAGGCCTAAAATCAGCTGTGGGTGTTGCATAGGAGTGGATGAGGAAGGAAAATTAGCTATCCTCTCATGGGGAAGCTTCAGAGACCAGAAGGCAGATGAGTACTCACTATTTGCAAATGGATCGAAGTTTTTTATTTGCTCAGGTATTTTGGTTTTATTCTCTCCAGTGTGGCAATGGACAGACAAGTTAAGACGGTCTGAAATGGTGAAGCACTGATTCTGCAGGGAAAATTAACCATTAGTGACAGTGAAACCTCGTGAATAAGCATTCAAATTTCTAAGCATTGCCCAGGCATAAAATGATTAGGCGTACTTGACAATAAATATGGAAGCTACTTGTGGCAGAAAGGCATAAATCTCAGTGGTGTGTGAGGAACCAAAAATTTACATTTCATGTGGTTGGATTTGTTTTTGTTTGTTTATTGGCAAGAAGGGCACAGTATATTGTGATACGCTAGTTTCTTGGGATTCCTGTGTGTGCTGACTAAGCAGGAGAAAAAGTTACTCTCTATGGATGATATTTATTGAGAAATTTTATTTTTACCAGAACATTTTATGTTCCCTGGTAAAATTGAAACCACATTAGTATTAAAGTTGACACTTGAAATGCAGTGATACTGAAGGGCCACATACATCATACAGTACTGAATAAGCAACAGAGAAATTAGCTTGATTACAAAGAAAAGATTTTGGAGCTATATCCCAACCCTGCAATTTGTCTTTGCACATAATATGCAAATGTATGAAAGCTTGTCTGTCATTAGAACTGGCTGTGACTTTACCAATAAAAATATTAGCTCGAATTTGGGTGGGTGTTTTCTGAAAACATAGGAACTGCAGTGACACTGGATGTGGCTGAAGGAAGTACATAATGGATCCAAAATAAGACTGATTTAAATAAAGAATAATAGTTGGAAGATTTGCATCACCATTAGCTCCAGTGATGTGTTGCTGTTGCATCTTGCATAACACATCTAACCACACTTCATGGTAGCTAATGATCTGGAAAGTGGTATTGATAATTGCTAGGAAAAAGAGTTCAAGAGGTGACCTCAGAGCTGGTGGTGATGCCCGTCCCTCCTCAGAGGAAGGGATTAGGGCCAAACACAGGTGACTGAGACATGGGACACTGCTGATGATCTGTCTGTTCTGCAGCTCTTCTACTTGTGTCAGCACAGCTCACAATGAAGCCAATCCCTCCTCCAGGGGAACCCACGAGAGGCACAACACACACCAAGCCCCATTCCAGATCTGGACTCAGGGAATAGGTTTGGCCTTTTTATACTACCCCTGGATGTTGCACTGTTTATACACCCAAAATGCATATGTAAATCCTTTCCCCTTTGTCATTAGCCAGGACGTCCCAGATGAATTACTCACATTAACGTTTTGGTTGAAGGTTTTGATGCATCTCCTCAGTCCTGTCATATGCTCTGCCTTGGGTAATTTGCAGTGCTTCTTGGGTTTTTCAGGTGAGGGATAGAACTCCAATGAGCTGGAAAGTTATAGCTTTGTAGTTAGTCAAATACAATGTAATACTAAAGGGCTTTCAAAGAATTTACGTTCTACTGTATTTGCTGAACAGGTTACAGGAAAGATTTAATCCTACTTTCTCTCCCCATTGTATCACTCAGACAAATTTTATGTGCTGGCACATGGAAGTCAATGCATCCCAGTTATTTCAAGGCAAAGATAACAGCAGATTTCCAGTTTCAAAGATTTCACAAAATCCTCCTCCTATCGTCTCTGCTTCCTGTTGATATCAGAGGGCATACAGAGCCCAAACTCACCTACAGTAACCTGGCCCTGAAAGACGGATGCCTGTTTCAGTCCCTCTAGGATTTACAGGTCTCCTTCCAGACACTGACAGTCCTGTAGGATCTCAGATACTCAGTGACATGCACCTTCTGAGCCCGGTCACATCTCAGTCAGCCAGAACAGTACATCTCAAGTGGCAGCACTACACTGAAACCTCTCTTCTGCCCTGACAAGAGAGCCCCAGCTGAGCTCTGGCATGGGGTGTGGCAGGGTGGAGAACATCTCTGGGGCTGCAGCTGGGGCAGTGTCTGACTGAGGTGCCTCTTCCAGCTCTGAGGTCAATCAGGCCTGGGACTCACTGGCAGTGGGATGGTTCCACATCCAGCCCCAATTCCAGCCACAATCTCTGATTCACACCCATGAAGCGACATCAGTGTTTTAGCTTTCTAGGGCCATGCACCAGACCCAAGATATATTTGTCAATCTAACCAAACTGGAGGTGTCTCACTTGTCAGTGACAAGTAACCCACCCAGTGACAGAATCACACTGAGCCTGTCCTTGAGGCAGGCACCCAGGGCAGTTCTGGGCTTGGCTGGTAAGCCTCTTGGCTGCAGATGTCCTGTCTGGAGATGACAGAGACTCAGCCAGCACCCACTGCAGTACTGGCCAAATACCTCCCCTCTGCTGGGAGGCATGTGGGAGAGGAAAACAGCATGAACTGGAAGAGATGAAAGAGCCAGGGGAGAGAAAGAAGGACAATACTTTTCTTTGTTCATTTTTACTCAAAGTGCAACTGAATCTCAGTTCATCCTGGCAATTGCCAAATGGCCTCTGTATAACTTCAATTCCACCCTTCTCCAGCCCCATCTCTATACATCCTCATTTTCCATTGAAAATGCCTTTCAGTCCCCAGGGTGTCTGTCAAGGAAAAGGGATTTTTTGAAAAGTGAAGTTCAGATAGAGCCATGGAACTGGAAGATGGGTTGTGCTAGACAGTTTGGGACTGTCAGATGGCAATCACTGAGCAGTGGCTGCCAGCATCTCAGCCCACATGGAGAGACAGAGACCGAGTTCAAGACAAAACACCTCAGCTCAGTGACTCCACTACACCTGGCCTGGGAAGGGGAAGCCTACATTTTTGTAAAGTAGCCTTGTTTCCCCTCAGTCTCTCCAGTCACCCACCTGTCACAAAAGCCTTTCTCTGATAAAATCTCCAGCTGGCATGGTGCTTCAGCCAGGTCCCTGCCCGGGTCCCAGTCACAGAAGAGAGCTGCCCGTGAGTCATACCAGCAAGTGAGGCTGGAGGCACCTGCCAGCAGAGAAGAGACAGACAGCAATGTGGCTCAATTAGCAACGATGCTTGGTGTTGATCATCACCCCGGACAATGCTGCCCCATCCCAAACTACTGACTGAACCCTCTGCTGGACGTCCAAGTAAGAAAGGCAGTGCCACTCATTTCTATATCTTTGTAGACTGATGTGCTCATCAGAGACCTGTAATATTGCAACCCTCTCTGGCTGCACGTTGCAACACAAACATTGCACAGCAGCGTACATGGTGCACCCACTGCCCTGGCTGACTGCCCTCCCTCTTCACCCAGCTGGCACAGGTGAAGGGAATCACTTCTTACCTTGTGCTGAGTCTGATGCCCATGAGGGAAGCATGAGGCTGAACAGGCAGAGGTGAGACAGAAGCAGCAATGAGGGCTTCATCAGTACTGGTGACACACTGAAGGAGAGAAGACACCCCCACAACACAGCTCAGCAATGGAACTTAGGAGGATGTCGAGATGTCATCTCACAGGAGGCCTCCACTGTCCTAGGATGCAGTGCCAGTCCTCTAGGTTCAGAAACTCATATCGCTTCCACTCTGGAGTCTGCACCTTTCCCTCAGCACCTCGCTGTTCTCCTGCCTTGGGTGCTCTGCTCAGCAGTGAGGCTGTTCACAGGGCAGCGCAGAGGCTGTTTGCAGAAATCTTGTCTTCTGCAAACGCGAGAGTGAGCGCGCAGCAGTCCGTGCGCGCTGTCTCAGGCTGCCTGCTGACTCAGGTAGAGAGTGCTGCCTCGGCTGTGCACAGCTTGCGCTTTGAAGAGCTTCTTTTTTTGGTAAACCCTAGGGCTGAAATAACTAGGTGCTTGCTGAGTAAGAGGGTCCCTGGATGCAACTGACAGAAGTTAGTGCAGAGCTCATGGCTTAGGAGGCACGTTTTGAATAGCATGTTTGGGACAGGTGGGGGAATCAGGGAGAAGAAAATGTTTACCACGTTTTAGAAAGTCAAGGCTTTACCATATAAAAAATATTACATAATAGTGTACAAACTATGCATCATCCCCTCCAAGTAGACCCTTGCTCTGCCTTGGAAGTGAATGATTTTAGATGTATCAGAAAATTTGGGCTTTGTAATTAGGAAACTCAGCAGTAGCCCTCATCCTGGCACCCAGGACCAGGCACCCAGGGACCCTCCTTGTCTTACAATGCCTGTACAGTTGTGTTCCATATTAGACAGACTGGCCTTACATTCTTCTCATGCTAACCTCTGTCTCTCCCCGTCCACCCGGACACCTGGACCTTGAGATCAGCCTTTGCCCACAGGAGACGAGAAGGAGCTGCCCTCACTTCTCACCAACCCTGGAGCTCAGGCAGAGCTGAGGAAAATAAGATGGAAGTCCCATCCGACCTTGCTGGGACTGCCAGAGGGGTGTGAAGAGAGGGTTCATAAAGGGCCAGCATGAGTTTAATATCAATTCCCGTTGTGATAAAAGATTAGGTTCAGAGGAAGAAAAACATGATGACAACACATTAGCAGACAGGAGAGAGAAAGAGAGAAAGCAGCATGGTTGTGAGATGTGGGGTATGATTTGAGAGGATTGTGGAGAGACAGAGAGATAAATATGTTTTCAGCCCTTCCCAACGGCAGGGTGCAGTTTGTCAGATTGAAACTCCTTCTAAGATGCTTTCAGATCAGCCACCCCCATGTGGGAGAGAGCTGGCATTACCCTCTTTACCTTCCAGCTCCAGGCACTGAGCAGTCCAGACGAAGGGAGTCCCTGGGGTCGTGAGGCTGGACAGCAGCAGGAGCTGAATGTCAAACAGTGAGAGGAAGGGTGAAGGGAAGAAGGCAGAATGATGAAGGCAGATATCCTGGCTCAGTGCATGTCCACGGGAGAAGAGGTGCCTACAGCCCAGCAGTTCTGCTCCAAAGCTGTTTCTCTCATATGCGCATGGTGTCTGCCTTCTCCCTCTCACCTGTGCACAGGAAGCTGCTGCTTGCCTGCCTTGTCAGACTGAGACAAGACCCCAGAGTATCGAAAAGGCTAGTAAGGCCAAGAATAAAAAAAACCAAAACAAAACCACATTTTACTTCCTGCTGATAAAGCAGTTAAGTGCAGAAACAGGTTTAGAGGGGTCAGGTCTTAGCAGTGTTCAGACATTCTGGGACCAGTTTCAAACCATTGCTGAGAGGCAAAAGAGAGCAAAAAGAACCTCTTGGGATACTGGCAAGACCCATATCTTCCTCTTTTAGGCACCCAAATGGATCACTCATATTGCTCTCAGGGTCTGCACAAGTTTACAGATCACTTTGAAAGTGGGGGCAGGAGTCTGTCTACAGTAGAAATACCATGGACTACTTTGTGAAAAACAGCTGGAGTTGCTGACCTGAGGAACACCTGAATGAAACTAGACATGGTTGCCCCAGTTTTAGAGGATCCATGCTAGGTCACAGTGGGAGTAGAACCAGGTCAGTGCTGAGTGTGAACAAGGCACACCCTCACACTTGCAGATGGTGTGACACCACAAGAACACCCATCCCACTGCCTCCCTACCCAGCCAAACACCCCATTCACTCCACAGAAGGAAGAACCACCCTTCTCTGACCTGAGCCTTGCAGCTAGTCCAGCCAGGCAATACCACCCTGCAGTAGCTGCAGTGCCTGTTTGGCATGGCTTGTGCATTCAACAGGCCAGAAAAAGAAACAAAAAATATTTTCACCTTCTTCCAAAGCTTTCTATGCCCTCACCTTTGCAGACAGATAGCCCCTTTCTTTGCCTTCACATCCCAAGCCAAGGCAGATGTACAAATGCAAATCCACAGCCTGACGGTTGCACAGTTCACAGATAGACACGGACCTGCAAACATGTCCTCACACCCCTTTCTCTTTTCCATACAGAAATAGAATTCTCTGAAGTGCAGCACATCACGTTTCCTGTCTGCTCTGGGCTGCACAATGATGGCCGCTCGTGTGAGGCCGCATGGTGAGAGTCTCCTCTTACATGTACAGTGGTCACCACACTCGGTGCTCCTCAAAGAGCAGCTGAAGGCCCAAACTCAGGTTTGGCAAGAAGGTTTTGCTGACCAAAAGTTACTAGAGGCTAATCTCAAGTCTCCAGGCAGTTCTTGTTTGAGGGCTCTATAAACCTGGAGGATGGGACCTAGTATAAGAACAAAGTGATCTTGGATTCAGGTAGTGGAAAAAGGGTGTAGGAGGAAGATGGGTTCTTAGTCACAGGAAGCTCAGCCCAGAGACTGGATCTCAGAAGATACTAGACCTCAAAAAGAAATAGTGTTGTGTGACTGTGTTCACAGGGGTTCTTGGATGAGGCAAGAGACGAGAATGTTGACTCCATGTTCAGAAGGCTTGATTTATTACTTTATGATATATATATATATATATATATTACATTATAACTATACTAAAAAGAAATGGAAGGAAAGGTTTCCTCAGAAGGCTAAGCTAAAAATAGAAAAGAATGATAACAAAAGGCAGCTCTCTCAGACTGTCCGAGATAACTCGGCCTTGATTGGCCATTAATTATAAACATCCAAGATGGGCCCATCAAAAATCCACCTGATCCATTCCACAGCAGCAGATAACCATTGTTTACATTTTGTTTCTGAGGCCTCAGCTCCTCAGAAGGGAAAAAATCCTAAGAAAGGATTTTTAGTGAAAAGATGCCTGCAACAGTGTTGGAGAAAAACACAGTAGTTTGAAGGCAGAGCCATTTTGCAGAAGGCTGCAATAGTCAATCCTCATGGCCATTTCTAGGAAAGCATTGCAGCTGATCCAGAACCAAGCACTCACTTAACCAGCAGTAGTGGAGTGCAGCACCTCTTTCTTCATCACACACAACAAGGACCAGGAGTCTTGAGAGCTGTCATTTGAATGCATCTGAAAACTCTTGTCAGGCCAGGCTTGGGGAGGACAACTAGGGAATCCAAACCAGCCAGCCTCTGCTGAAGAAGGGCAGAGGAGAGGATGGGCTGTGTGCTCTCCTGCTCTGGAAACTGCTGGCTGTGTGTGCTGCACCTTGGAGGCTCCCATTTGGATGGAGATGTAATGGCATGGATCATCAGGCCACAGACCACCCTTCCTAGGAACTCTGAAAATGAATACATCTTGTTCTGGCACAGAAATCCTCAGCTGAAGCAATGAAATTCTCTGTAAGTTCTTGGTATCACCACCATTGCAGCTGAAATGGATCATTCATATTAACCATAATTTTTCCTGTTTGTCCTTCAGGCTAGAGAAACCTACACCTTCCTTAAGAGCAAATATCACTTTGGAAAAGCAAATGAACATAGCACAGGTTTTTTATTGTTCAGCTTATCAAGGAAAAAAACTCCACTGATTCCCTTTTTTTCCTTTTTTTTTTTTAATATATGCATAAAAACCATATGAAGTTGATTGTGCACTATGGCACCTGAAATAGTAGAAGAGGAAAATTTAACATTTAGTCACCCCCTATAGGGAATGGGTGGCTGATGGAGCTGGAAACAAGGATTTGTGTGATCAGCTGCCTCTCTGGAGGCTGTGTTTTCCTAGATCTGTTTCTCTGTGATAGGTTCTTATGCAGATTTTCTTCCATCTAGTAAGGACTGATGTCACATGGAAGACCTTCCCATGGAGGGTCCCAATGGAAAACCAACACTCCTCTATTGAGATACCCTGGCTCAATAAGGGATTTACCTCTTTGTCAAGGGCAACTGGAATTGATTGACTTTTCCAAAACTGTGAAGGGAGGGGGAATGATCCCATGGATCAGCTACAGACAACCAAACCTCAACCTGTGTGGAGACACAAACTTCCTCAGCATATTTTTCTTGAAAACACAGTTTAAAATGTATGAAGCAATGACCATGTGGCATAAATTAGAGGGTTCCCTCCAGAGACATGATAAAGGCATTATGTCCAGACCCCATCTGACACATGTAAATTATGCTTGCTGTCAGCACAGTTTTTGAACTTGATTGCCCAAGATGTTGTGCTACTGAGAATGTGGCACTTTTTATCTCCTTTACACTGATATTGTTAGGAATTGCGCCATTCGTAATGTGAGAAGCCAAACAAAACCACACTGTCAGCAACACAAAGAGGTGTTCTTGGCTTTACCTTCCTGTCCCCATAATGGTGGCTGAGATAGGTAAACTCTGCAGTCAGTGTTGTTGCTCAGTGTTAAAGTAGCAGGTAAAAGTGTGATGATGGAGGTTTTGTTAAAGGTGTTGTTTGGTACAGATTCGTTTCAGGGGCAACCTAAGTTTTAAAAATACTCAAGACTGAGGCACGTACTTATGCACAAGACTTTTTGCCTTCACACTGCTTTCATTAGAGAAGAGGAGTGCTGCTGAAACTGCTCATTTTCAGTTGTGTGTCCACTGAGAGTCTCTGCAAAATGGCAAAGGTGAACGGGGGAATAGACACAGAAGAAGCGTGAAGGGTAAAAGCCTTGTGTGGTGTCAAATTATCCCACAAGTCATCAGCTCATCATGTTTGTTAGGCTGGGGACACCTCTTCCCTTTACTGTCTCTCAGTGGGACCAGAGTGCCAGGCTAACTGGGATGCCTTGCAAACGGCCCAGCTCACCGGGGTGAGCTCGGTGGAGGTCTCAGCAGATCCATCTCGGTGTCCTGTCCTCATGGCCCTCTGGAGTGGAGCGGTGGAAAGGGCACAGAACCAGCAGGAGGTGAAGGCATGAGGGCAGAGATGCCCTGATGGCCACTGAAGTTCGCCTCCTGACAGGATACACAGTGAAGGTCTCTAGAAGCTCTGCAAGTTATTTCTGGTACTTTCCAAATAATGTTGTTTTAACTATAACCTTTGCATTGAATTTCCTGCCAATCTTATGCGTGCGCTTCTCAAAACTACGCTGTTGTTCTACATCTGCAGTTATTTTCCCCTTAAACTGTGGTTCTACTCCGAAAAATGTCTGTAAAAATGGCCTTGTGGGAAACCACTGCTCAGTGTATAAGTGAGGTCTTTATTGAATTTGTTCACATTACAAGCCTGTAAGAGGTTTTCCTTTGTATCAAAACAGAAAACTTGGGCTGATGTGAGAGAGATTTTTTCCCTCCCTCTCCATGATTCCTAGAGAAATCCGCTGCTACAGGCTAAACACTTCCCTCAGGTTAATCTCCATCACTGTGTTTAAGTGGAGAGGCATTTAAGAAATAGAGTTTAAGATCTGGAATCAGGTACCACAATGGAGTAACAATGCTGGGCAGCAAGTGCTAAGCCTACCTAAGGGCAGATGATATTCCTGCATTTCTTTCCTTCAAATTCTGCCCTACAGAGTTACCTGGTAGACATGCCTGATAAGGGCAGTAGACATCAAATATACACATGAATACACAAAATGTTCAAAAATAGGGATAGCCCTTCTGTAGCCCTGTAGGCTATAGAAGAACATGGACAAAAGTGGTAGGAGGCTGAGGCATTCACAGGCAGCTTTACTTGAGACAAGTTGGAGGCCAGAGGTGGGAGGTGATGGAGGAGGTGTTCACTTTCACTCCTTGACAGTGCTGGTCACAGCCCTAGAGAAGTGGGGGAAAAAGGGTGGGAGGGAGAGTATGCTACTTTCAAGCAGTTTCACTCTTAGCCTGCCTGGCTGTGAATACACTGCTATGTTCTCATGAGGAGGAGCATGGGACAGTCACGAGATGCTCCTGCTTGGGACCTGAGCCCTGGCTCCTCATTATGTTTGGGCTGAACTAGACAGTGTCAGGACTGCTGGAGGGGCTGGAGCCCAGCAGCAGAGTCGAGCTTTAAGAGAGCTCCTAGGAGTGAATATCTGTCTCCCTGATGAGTGCTCGTGGTGCCACAAGGGCTGTTCAGACCCAGAGTCCCTCCCTAGAGACTCTCAAGGAAGACCTGGGCTGTCACCCTGGGCCTGGCTCAGCCACATGAAGGAAGACTACT